TACAACGGTTTCAATCATTTGTTCATCTGGCATAATGACAAAAATTGGATGGATTGTTTGTGTACCGGCTTCACCATAGACTCCATTGATCATCAAAATGTTTTTATTTGCAACAAATGCTGTTCCACTAACCCCGACCACAATTGGTTTGGAGACAGTTGAGATAAAACTCAATTCGAATACGGTAGCACTTTGACCATCCAATAGAAAATCAAGTGTTTGATTATATTCAATCAGTTGCAGATATTTTTGTTCCGGATATATTTCACTTAATAACCAATAGCCTCGTCGCGTTGATGATTTGATATTCAATTGACCATCGAGTCGAATCATTCGATGCTCTTGAATATAATTCGGATTGAATAAGAAAAGAAAACCATCGATACCATTTAGTTTCATCAATGACCAATTATGTTCGTTCGAGAATGGGATAGAATTTCGAATTTCTTCTAGATGTTTATCAGTCCATTGTAACCAATATGTCCATAATTGTAACGTTCGTTCTGGTAATAGATAGTATTCTTGAAGATCTCTTGCTCCTATCATGGTATGAATGAGATTACACCCAGACGAAGCCACGTTCGCTAGTAATGAATAAGGAAAACCCATTAGATCGAAATCTCTTATATCGTGATCTTGCCATGGTAAACCACCATCGGCTGAAAAACGTTCTGATTGATGTCCGATGAAACCCGGAATACTTTCCATCGATGCAAAATGTTCTAAACGTAATTCAAAATTACCTGGGAGCATGAAATTCGCTGCAATTTTATCAGTATGTAAAGAAGGATAAAGAATCGGATATGTTTCTGGATTTTCATCAGCGAGTAGTGCTGATGTATAACCATTCAAAGTCACCCAAGACCATGGACCGTCATATTGGGACCCGTAACGATGATCCATGATTAAATGAGGTAAAGCCAAAAGTAATTGAGTACGTACCCATTGCCAACCGCGCCATTGTGAATATACTGTATGATTTGTATCAAAGAAATAATTATAATCCCAAGCATAGCCACCGATATCTGACATGGGAGAAAGAAAGATAATTCGTAAGTAAGAATACTTGGTATCGTGAAGTTTGTAAGGCATGCAACCAGCATCGTTCTAATTTTTTTGTAACCACTATTACCCCAAAACAAGAACTTTATAGGGAATGAGAAACGTCTTTCACTTTTATATCTTGCTACACTGAAGTTATCGTGAATCTTCTTCTTTCAAGAAAAAGTTATAATGCCTTGGTCTAATCGATTACAGTGGTACTTCAATGATACTAGTTGAAAGAGCTTATTCTCGATCTAGCTGTTTGTCACACAGATACTATGGATGTCTCACACAGACCTGATAAGATTCTTGCCAGTTCATCACTAGAGACGACCTAGTAGTATATGGCTGCTCACAAAGTCCTACCGAATACAGATACTTTAAAGCATAATAAAGTCATAAATGTTTTGACTAACTAGCCAAAAAGAATAGAAAAGGCTTTCCTTTTTTGTCTAGAGCTATTATATACATACGAAGAATTCTGTCGCTTATTAAAATTGAGTCAAATATGCAACTATTCTCCTAGTTTGATGAAAACTAATAGTCATTTTAAAAAAGTAGATTAGTGGGTATTTTTCGAATAACTTTTGACAGGAACATGAAAGATGGACACGATTTTCAACTTTCGAAAGAGGTAGTGCCATTGCATTGTGCCAAGTCGTATTCAAGAAAATTGACTCA